TTTTTTTAATTAAAAATATTTTTTAATGTTGGTTTATTTTTGAGACAGAGAGAGGGAGACACAATCAGGCAGGCTCCAGGCTCTGAGCTGTCAGCACAGAGCCCAGTGCAGGGCTTGAACTCCCAAGCTGTGAGATCATGACCTGAGTCAAACTTAGACGCTTAACCGACTGAGCCACCCAGGCTTTCCCCCACCCCTTCCAAATTTTGCTTTTGAAGGAGCAAAAAAAGCATGAGCAGGGAAGGGACAGAGAGAGGAGAGAGCAAGAATCCTAAGCAGGGTTGCACACTGCCAGTGTGGAGCCAGATGTAGGGCTTGAACTCAAGAACCTTGAGATCGTGAATTGAGTCCAGTCACTTACCCACTGAGCCACCCAGTTACCCCTGCTTGTAAATACTTCTAGTGAAGTGATTTTGGTAGTAGTGAGCACCTGGAAAACTGTGTTTTTCTTCCCTTAACATAAAGACTTCAAGATCTGTTCTTTTACACAGGTACAGGTTTGCAGATCCCACCAGCAGCACAGCAGGCTCTACAAATGAGTGGCTCTTTGGCATTTGGTGCTGTGGCAGGTAGGAATTGAATCTTTTCTAATTTGAAATCATTGTTTTTTTCACCTAATTCGAAAATTTGCCAAATTTTCGCATTTAAAAGGACTTACTGAGAATTCAATTCATCAAGTACTTTTAGCCTATAAATTTCAAGGAAATGGAGAGAATTATTCAGTAATCATAACAGGCTGTTAGGGCATTTTTTTGTACCCTACCTACCAATTTTTAGTTTGAAATTGCCTAGAAATTACACTTTTTAAAATGTGACTTTTCTTGAACACCAGCAAGTTTATATTGTTTCAAAAAAGTTTCTTTATAATGTTTGAGTTTAGAAAACTATCAGAGGCCTTTAAATCAAGCTGTATGTAAAATAATTTCAGTATCAAGAGTGCAAAGAAAACTGCTTTCCTTTAAAAAGTACATACAATTTTGAGATAATGAGTTAGGGTAATAGCTTCCGAAGGGGGCAAGAAAAGAAGAGTGGTTTTATTACAGTTATGTGACAAAGAGTTCAGGTTATGAAACCTTCTTTTTCTTTCTTTATGGCTTAAGTACCTCAGATTTGCTTTTATAAACCTTGATGCTAACCCAAATCCATGGGCTAGGATAGCATTTAATTTTGAAGTGTTGGAAGACCTTGCTATCTTAGGGCATCTAAAAAGAACAAATTTATATCCTAAGAAAGTATAGCACTTTGTATTATGAATTGGTCCTTTGATCTCCCCTGTAAAGTAAGAGGTAAGAGTAAGACCACAGTACTGCATATAAATACACTTTAAAAGGCCATGTAGTTGATTCATGATTTCCGTTTAAATCAAAAGATCATTAATTAAAGGAGAGGATTATTTTTGCTTTTCTATTATACTTGGTATTAAGAGAGAAGGCATTTTTCAGTGTTTTCCTGTTTAGTAGATGTCCACAAGTTTAAGTACCTTTAGAAAGTCTGCCTTTTGTGTATCTCCTGCCAGATTGTTATTTATTTTGAAATCTGATAGGTGCTCTATAAAATTTCTGACAAAACCCTACCAACGTTGTCCTTACGTGAAGAAAAATTACAACCATTAACGCATTTCTGTATTTTGAGTCACTGGTTAACTCCCTCGGGGATCACTAAGTTGTTTAGACTTTATAAACAAGTATTAGACTTTAAATTTCTTGAGTGATGAAAGAGGCCTAGCATGCCACTTGGTGTAATCAGAGACATTAAAGGAGAACCCATCCCTTCCAGAAATGTAACCCAGTCTATGGTTTGAAAATTACTATTTAATCTGAAAACTATTTTTATATTGTTTCTCATTGTTCAGGTCATTTAATAATTTAGAAAATGCTTGATTGTTTACCATATTCTAAGTGTTTCATTAGAGGCTAGTGAAGGTTTATACGTTGTCTTCCGGGATTTAATGCATATGATTCATTTCTAAACATTCTTACGTAATAACCTGGATGCAGTATCAAATATGTTGATTCTATGTTCTTCATAAATAATATCGTAACCTAATTGAAGATTTTCAAAAGTTAGACATCATTGCTATTCCTTGCCATTATTTCTCGATACATGGAATTATGAGCACACTTACTATGCGATTTATATTAAGGTGGGCTGATTGTGATCAATTAAAACTATAAATGTCCATATGGATTGGTTAAAAAGGCCACTTAGCTGTATTTGTTACCCTCCCCCTTTTTTGTTGATTGAGATGATTATCAAGTTTGATTCTGTCTTTAACTACATATAAAATGCTATTGCTACCAAATTAGTAATTAACACTGAAGTTTTAGGTAAATATTTACATAACTTGGTATTTTTCTCCAGATAGTCATCATTAAAACCTTACACATTTCTTGTTGAAATGAAATAAATTGCTGAGTGTTAATGTGTCTAAAGCCCTTTCCCCTAAGCTCTTTAGACTGCTCTTTGAAACCAAGGGTGAGTCAGCACTCTATCCAGGATCTTATTTGAAAGTTTAACAATTAGTTGTTTCTAAGATGGGAATCCTTAACTTTATGAAACCCATGCCTTGTTTACTAACTTATCACAAATGATCTTAAAAGTGATTTTTGACATTTTGATAGGGATTTACATACACTTAAAATAGCATGGGCTTCTTTGTGTATGTGTGTGTATGTATGTATTTATCTTTTAACCTTTGCTTATTTTTGAGAGAGAGGCAGAGACAGAATCCTAAGCAGCCTCCAGGCTCTGAGCTGTCAGCACAAAGGCCTGTGCAGGGTCAGACTCATGAACTGGGAGATCATTACCTGAGCTGAAGTCGGATGCTCAACCAACTGAGCCACCCAGGCTCCCCTCTTTTTCAAATACTTAAGTAATCTCTATACCCAACGTGGGCCTTGAACTCACGTCTCAGAGATCAAGAGTTACATGGTCTTCTGACAGAGCAGCCAGGCACCCCATAGCATGGATTTGTGATTACATATTTTTTCCCATTTTAGGGGGGATAAAAGACATTGTGTGTTCTGTTTGACACTGTTCCTATGGTCATGCCTTCAAGTTCCTTCAGTATAAACCAGATACTTAAACTCCTTGAGGTCCCAATTTTGAGCACCTAGGACCCAGGTATTTTTAAGATCCCAGTATAACTTGGGCTGCAGATTCTATCTTATCCCTCCCGCCCCAGCTTTTTAAATTTTTACTTCTAAGTAATCATTATACCCAGTGTGGGCCACAAACTCAACCCTGAGTTCAAGAGTCACCCACTCCACTGATGGAGCCAGCTAGGCCCCCCCATTTTTGCCCATTTTCCCCCTATTTTGAGGGAGAGTGCAAGTGGGGAGGAGCATAGAGAGAGAATCCCAAGCAGGTTCCCTGCTGCCAGTTCAGAGGCTAATTGGGGGCTTGAACTCCTGAAACCACAGGATCATGATCTGAGCTGAATCCAAAAGTCGGATGCTTAACCGACTGAGCCTCCCAACCCCCCCCCCATTTTTGTCCATTTTTAAGTTTTTCTGTACTCAGCAAGAAACCCAGATGAAGTGTTGGAATTGAATCACATGTTAATGAAAATTAGGTTGCTGTATCTGAACAGTTCTTATGTTGTGTATTAAAACTTTTAAGCTTCAAGATAGCTTTACAACACAATGCCATTTTCTTTGTTATTTAGATCAGATTTACTGTCTAGCAGCTTTCTAATAACTTGCCTTCCGATGGACAATTTAATGATTATATGAGAAAATACACTGGTAAAAATCCCCAATCTGTTTATTTTTAATAGTGACTAGATGATTAAATTTGTCTTGTATTTCACAGATGATAGTAAACTTGGTTAGAATTTATTCCTGCTTCATTAAGTTTGCAGACTAAGCCAGAAAACCAGACATAATTAAACTGTCACCTTCTGGGCTAAATATCCCAAGTACTTGGAATTGAATTCTCAAGATCAGGGTTTTCATGTATTTTCTGACTGGTGTGCTTCCCTTTCCCCATTTCCCATTATTCCCATATGAAGAGTAGTATAGTGGAATTCATTGGAGATTTGGTAGAGTAGTAGGAGTAGGAAGAAAGAGGCATAAGTAAGTTTCCCAGCATAGGAGGAAAGAAAAAGGCCCCAAAGCCTTGTCAATGAGGAATGGGGAAGGAGGTTTGGCTGCCAGGTTTTACTATAAGTTTATTTTGATAAACCCTGCTACTGTAGTCCTCTTTTATTAATACTTTCCTGACATTTACCCTGTTAGTTGAGGCTCTTCATTGTTCCTGCACTGAGCTGTAGAATTCTCTTTTGTTATAGATTTGCAAACAAGACTTTCTCAACAGACTGAAGGTGAGTTGAGCTTTTTATTTGTCTTTGAAATAGATGTTAATGTAGTAGCCAGACATAGTTGTTTGTTTATATTTAATATATCATTTGTTACACTTTGTATTTTGGGTTCAGTTTTTAGAGAAAGACATAAAATTCCCATCTGTTTAATGTGTATTTCAGTTGGGCTAATCCAAATCATTACAATTCCATGGATAAAGAAAATGAAAATGTCTGTATTTTTTGCTTTAGTCTGCTTAGAATTATTTTTAGCCTTATATGCTTATCTTTGTGTTCCTGTTACTAGTTTTGTATAATTAAAAGTTGGAAAACAGAATTTATTGTTTCAGTACACAAATCTTTAAGGAGTCTGAACTTAACATAAGGTCAAGGACTCTAATGTTAATGATTTGTATTAATAGTGCCAAGCAATGAGACAATTATCCAGAACTAAATTGCATGCATATTTCAAAGAGCTGAAATTATTTCTAAAGTAGGGTATTTTTTCTTGTTTCGATTACCAAGTAAATCTCTGCTATTTGTTAGAGCATTTCACTTCTGAGCAAAATCGGAATCCATCTTTCATAGGTTGTATTTACGAGTTATTTTGGAGAATGATTCTTTATGGAAAAAGGTCTACCATGTTCCTTGATAGGAATTAAATGTATATTTTAATTCTTTTCCAGCAAGTGAGACATTTGCACTCACCCTTTTTTTTAAACAGATTTTATTACTATTTTTAAATTTAAATACTATTTAATATACAGTGCAATATTGGTTTCAGGAGTGTACAGATTTTAAAAAGTAGAACTAGTGAATTTTTCTATTAGATTTCTATGCTGAATTCATTGTGTTTGCATTCATCTAGATTGAACTGGAATGTTCCTATCATATATTTTCTAAATATTTTTCAGTATTCATAATATACTTCATTTGAGAAAATGGAAAACAAAGTACTCTTCAGTTTTATAAATGACCTAGTGTTTATTTCCAAGAGTACTTCCATTTGTTTATGGTACAGGTACACAGTGGGCCTCATTTCTATCTTCATTGTCACATAAGCATGGTTACATCTGTAACTTTTCTGAATAGAGTTTGACATTTGTGAGCTGTTTTAGCTTATTTATTTTAATATGAAGTTTCTTGAAAGAAAAATAAGTAATAAAGGAGCAAAGAGCACTTGTAATTATCAAAAATAATAATCTTTAATGATGCATTTCATGCATGGCCCTAAGTTCTAGTCAGTGAAATAATTTCTCATACTTCTCAGGTGATTGTTCGTTTTAATTACCCTAATTTCTAATGCGCTGTTTTATCCTTAGCTTTGTTTGTTGTTATATATTGGAATGAAATTTGGTCAAATATAATGATTACGGTGAGTTCTGTAACAGCTACTGGTAATGTTTGTGAATATCATAAAAGCAATGGGGCACCTGTTTTGACAGTGCTCACTTGAAACTTCAAACCAGTGTGAGTTTTAAATGTTCTTCCTGGATATTAGTGTCCAGTAGTTTTTCTTTTTTAATAGTGAATATTATAGATAATATGCTACTTTTAGTGTTTATTGTGCTATAACAGACCTAATCATTAAAAAATTCTCATTTGAGGGGTGACTGGGTGGCTCAGTTGGTGAAGTTGTACGACTCTTGATCTCTGGCCTTGAGCTAAGGGTTGTGAGTTTAAGCCCCACATTGGGCATGGAGCCTACTAAAACCCTCATTTGATTTAGTAATAGGGTTTATATTTCTGGGATATTAGATTTTAAATGGTTGGATTGTTTTGTGCCTCTTATTTTTAAACAATCCTTTTATAATGTTTTATTTGAAAGGAAATATATAACTATTTTGGGCAGAAACCTAAGGAATACAAAAGGGTATAGATTTATTTGGCATTTTAAAGGCTGCATTTTCATCATCCCCTGCTTCTTGGGGAATAAACTCCAGCAGTTCTACAGAATCAATCTGTTTTATCCTTTACCTTTCTGGATTGGTTTCTATGGATATTCATCTAAGTGAACGGATTTTGATTACACCTAAGGTTTCCGTTCTAAAAATAAAAAATTTTCAACTCAAGATTGGGTATTTCAAATGTTAGGTTGCCCCCGATTCTGGCAACTCAAATTGGGTACTGTTCCACAGTTTGATAGTATTATTAAGTAAATTAGTGAAGTGACTGACTATCCTAGTTTCAAAGTTGGCGTTTCTTGGTTTTGTTTTATTCATTAGGGATATTCTCATGCATTTTCCAAGAAACTAATTTATTTCTCTCTCTCTCTTTTTTT